CCCGTGTATCGATGAAATTTTTTTAAAAAAAAACGAAGAATTGAAAAATCGAATTGAAATTGGCGTGAACGTGTTTGGATTAATCAAAGATCAAAGAAAAGGAAAAGGAAAAGAAACTCGTTTATGAAAGTCAAGAAAAGTTAAACAGGATTTATGTAGATTGTATATAGATTTTAGATTTTTTAGATGTGTTTTTTTTTTAAGAAAAGAAAAGAAAAGAAAAGAATCTTTGAATTAAAAAAAAATGAAAGGGAACTCAATAGAAAATTCAATTTAACATTTCAATTCGTGATTTGAAGTTGATGATGAGCTTGAAGTGAAATTAAAAACTTGACTCAGTTTTTTACTTATCCAATCATTGGATCATCAAGTCTCCATCATAATCATACTGAACAATTCACTTCCATAAATACAGATGTAGTATTGGATTTGCTCAGAAGATAAAGAAAAACTGAGCTAGAAAATAAATAAATAAAATATCAGTGATCTGCGGGACAGCCAAACAAACCAATAAACCAATCTATATCATCGTATATCAGAAATATGTAAGCATCTAGATGGTGAGTTGATAACGACTACGACGACCTACACAAAAGAACAAAAGGTGTTGTTTGAAAACTTAAAAGAATCAGATTTGGTACAGTGACAATTTCAGTAAGTTTCAAACTTCAAGCTGATCAGGCTGAGCAAAGATTTTCATATTTTAAAACTTGGATTTGGGTGATGTGATTGTGATGATGAATTTAACAGATAGAAGATTAAGCTTGACTAAGCCTTAGGGCCCGTTCGGTTCGTTTTCGCATATTATATGCCCTGAAAACGAAATTTCGTTTTGCCCCTATATAAAGGGGCAGATAGAGATATTCGTATTTCGGGAATTGAGATTACCGAACAGAAATCCAAACGGAGGTCAACAGACGTCTGTTGACCTCCGTTGATCATATCACTGTTCGGTAACGATATTATGAAATACAATCTAGTCGATTGTTCCGCCCATAAAATCAAAAAAGGTCATTAAAGACCTTCATCTTCGCTCTCGTTCACCTACATCGAGCTTTATAAAAAAATCGAAACGGTCATTAAAGACCATTTTTGTCTTGTTCTTTCACCTACATCGAGCTTTATAAAAAGAATCGAAACGGTCATTAAAGACCATTTTCGTCTTGTTCTTTCACCTACAACTACTTTCATCGCGTCAATAAAAAGGAATTGATTTGATAAAAGACTAATAGCAAGTCGAGTTCAATAAAAAGGAATTGATTTGATAAAAGACTAAAAGCGAGTTAAGCTGAATAAGATTTAATTTGATTTGATAAAGGACTAATAGCGAGTTGAGTTGAATAAAAAAGAGAAGGAATTGATTTGATAAAGGACTAATAGCGAGTTGAGTTGAATCAAAGAATTGATGCAATAAAGGACTAATAGCGAGGTTCATTGAATAAAAAAGAGAAGGAATTGATGGGATAAAGGACTAATAGCGAGGTTCATTGAATCAAAGAATTGATTGGATAAAAAAACTAATGGCGAGTTGATAGCCAGTTTGATGAGCTAGCTGAGGAAGAAAATTGTGAGGGAAGCTGAGCGAGGGAGTGAGGAATACAAGAGCCGTTGGAAAGGGGGTGTGCGGGTATTGAGATTAGGAGAAAGGGGTGGAAGAAGGAGATGGATTGGGGCAGGGGCAGATAGAGATAGAGGGGGTAGATTCAGCATGAGCCCCGTTTCCCGCGGGCTCGGGGATCTCCGGCTTCCGTACCGTTGGTACGGTGCCTCGGGCTAGGTATCTCAGCCCCCCGGCACCGTACCAACTCCGTCGGAGCGGGGACCGGGCAAGAGTATGAGAATCCCCGGTTTTTATCGGGGAACCAAGCTATAGCAGAGAGCTGTAGAATCGAGGGCAGATAGGGAGAAATGAAAGGTGAGGAAGGCCTCGTAACAACTCATACATCAGTATAAGGAATCAAATACAATGAAATACCTGTACAAAACAGTAGAATATCAGCCGGAACTTGCTCGTGAAGCAGATTTATGAATTTTTTTGATCTAGCAAGCTCTACCGACTAACACTCGACGGGGAACCGACGGGGAACCGATATTTCGGTAGGCCCCCAATTTTTGGTGGCGGGGGACGGTCTGAAGACGTACATGAAGATCCCCGATGGGGAGGGGTCGGCTTGGAATCCGGGATGCATTTCCAAAAAGTGCTCGGGGTGGATTTTCGCCGGTCCCCGCACCCGAGCAAGCGGGGCTCATGCTGAGGGTAGATACAGCCTTTGGGGCTGTATCTGTATTTGGACGAATATGTGAAGATGTCCAATGACATATTGACTTCACATATTCGAACTGAACGGGTATGTAAAAGCGAGTATATGGGTCCAATCTGGTCCATATAATATATTGCTGTATGTAACAATTTTGGTGTAAAAGTCGGTCACATAATATGTGACCGACCGAACCGAACGGGCCCTTAGCTTAACACAAGCCCCTCAAAGTCAAGACCGTCTGCGCCTCGCCCTTGTAATTGGGAATCAAGATTATGTATCAAGTTGAGCGTGTCGTACTTTGTTAAGGTTATTCCCGAGAGGAACCTTCAGCTGGGTAGAGATATGCGAAGACTTGATAAAATTCTTTAAGATCACTCAGATTTCTATTTGTATATGACCTGCTTCATTTCTGATTGACTGCTCAATTATTAAACATGAATGTGATCCATTCCGCTCACAAGAATGAATCATCTCTTTTGGATGACTGTTGATCACAGAATCAACAGACACTTCTAAGTTGAACAGCTGGGCAGACATTTATTTTCTTGGTTTTTGATTTTTGTTTCTCTTTTTATGTACATCAGACTCAATTCAAAACTGCCTGATTGAAGTTTTGAAAATGTTTGGTCTCATGACACCACGGGAATTATTATGTCTGAGACCCGATTGAGCGAAGTTGTGGTGTCTGAGTCCGCAATAAGTCTCAATTTTTGGATTGAAACCTATTAAAGGCAAGGGGGGGACCTTGGATTTTAATAGGTTTCAATCCAAATTTGAGACTTATTGTGAACTCTGTCACCACATTAAGTTTCACGTATGATTGAACCTAATAGATGCCCGTGGTGTGAGTTTTGATCATACATAACATATATAGAGCGAAGACAATTTCGATCAAAACACGTTTTCTAGAAATAGTTTCTTTCAAAACTCCTACATTTTTCCTTTTGAAAATGAAAATATTTATAATTTACATCTTTTCATTCATGATTTCATTTGAATGGTGAATAATGAATAATGAAGTTTGATTTAAAAATTTATAATCAATCTTTTCCATTGATTTCACCAAAAAATAATTATAAATTCTTACATATAATTATTTCTTTTTCACATAAACAAACCATGATTAAACCATTTGAATGATCTTGATGATGATTTCTTAAACCGATCACTCCAATCAAAGATCCACATGGGGTTTGATTCAGTTTAATAACAGATTGATCTGATTGAATTGGTTTTGAATGTTTCGAATGATAATAAATCATCATATTTCCAATCTGTTGTTTACCTTCATCCTCCATGGATACACGTGAGTCTTCAAAGATGATCGTTTGATCTTCTGTATAACAACTTAATCTTATATCTCGTTTTGATGCCATCACAAATGACATGGCAGGAATGGTTTGAATATGATCCCATTGATAATTAGGTGACATCGATCGAGTCGAACTGATAGGTGACTCAAATACAAGTCCGTCTATATCATTCTTGATCATGATCGATGATCTTGTTGGGTTGGAACTTGGGATTTCAGGTTCGAGATTATGAACCGGTAAGCTTCTAGAGATGATCTCCACTGGTATCATCTCATGAGGTGTGATAGTGATCCAATGATGTTTCGATTCCAATGATTCATCACCATTCACTGGACTTAACCATGTAAAGACCGCTCCAAGACTTTGACTCTGATTTCCCGAATCAATCTCATCATCCACTTCGGCATTACTTAGACCGATATGCTTACCACCTAAAACTGTAGAAGATGGTTGGCCCGAAGTAGATCCAGTAATAGGTATAGCACCAAGACCTTGTTTTTGTTTTTGAATGGAGCTTAGACTGCTATCTAGATCTAGATCAGTTGTATATTTCTCGAGCCTGGATCGAATGGCTTCATAGTCAGCTGGATCAAAGACTTGATCGAGTTGATCATCAGATTTAAAGACTTGTGGCCAACGTAGCTCGTGACGCTTTTCGAGCTCTATTGTAAGAGTAGTATGACCTTGATCTGAGGTATCCGTATACCAAACTGAGTCCTTGGGTTGAATTTGATCCCAAAGCTCAAGTCGAAGTAGAGCTGATGAAGAGGATGAATCAATAGACGTTTTGAAGTATTTGAAGAGAGTACGAATATATTGATCAGACTTCTTTGCCAAATCTTCTGTCAAAGAGGTTGATTGAAGTTTCAAAGTAATTTGATTGGCGTCAAAAATAAGGTTAAAGGATTTTGTAGGAAGTTGATCGGGGATCGGAAATTGAATCGTCAATGTTGTCGAGGTTTGTGACCAGCTGTAC